ATTTTGTTCTTATCTCATAGTGAATATTCTGCTCTCATATTCACAGCTTCAGAAACCCTATAGTCATTCCACTCTGTTCTATAGGCTTTCTGAGTTGTAATTGGCTTGATGGCAGTTTTCTTTGGTTCATTTTTAATGTCCTACCCTGTGGTACTTACATAATCTGATGTCAATTTGGGATTTGAGTGGATTAAGAGTGAAGGGGTGGAGTCTAGTTGGTCAATCAGATAATAGCCAATGAGGCTTCTGTGTGGGCATGGCCTTCTCTTGAGGATTCTGGGAAACCCTGAGACACTTCTCTCTGCTCACACCTTGTGAGACATCCTTGAGAAGCCACATGGACCTACCCTGATGCAGCCAGAACCCTGGACCTGGAGAAGCCGTGTGGAGACCCCGGGCCAGCGCTGAGATGCTTACAATGCCACTGGATCTACAAGACTTCCCAACCAATGGCCTGTGATCTTCCTGCATTTGGCATCATTGCATGTTTCATGAGTCTGAAGAGGACTTTGAAGATTGGTGTTGGACATATGGGCTCGAGCTGGACTGGTTGGGGATACATTCTTGATGTACAATTACCCTTTATATAAAACTCTCTCTGATACACATATGAGTCTCTCTGGATTTCACTCTCTAGTCTACCCAGACTAACACATACCCCTAATAACCAAAAAATTGTCAAATACTGCTAAAAGCAGAGTATCAGAAAGATGGTTACTTTGTGTTCTATTGACTATGCAAAGGCCATCCACTGTGTTTACTGTAACAAACTATGGGAATTCCAGAACATTTGTCAAGGCAAATTGGACATCATTCAATCCTGCCATGTACATAAAAATATAACTGGCATAGTTGCTAAAAAATACTAGTGGATACCATTACAGGTTAGCAAAGGATTTAGGTAATTTATACCCATATTCATATACTTCAAGAACATTCTGCAAAGTGTAATTAAAAATTATTTATCCACTGAAAATATTTCACTGCATTAATGTAGATATGCAGAAAGTGACAATCCTCCTTCTGGTCTGGATTAATGAAATAAATCTGATGTTTTGGCTCATCTTCAAATATAAAGTTGTAATTGGCATTGTCCTTTGTCTGTACAATAATCACTTTCACCTTTCATTCTGGTAGTCACGATTTGTTCCTGCATTCCCTATTTTCACATTAAGACTTGGGGAGAAATACTAGTTGATCAACCTAATCATCTGCGGTTCTTTGCTATTGTTACATTTAGTGGTTTATATTTGACCCTTGTGCCCGTGATAAGTAGGTTTTGTGTCAACCTGACTGGGACAAGATCTCAGTGGGTTTGCTGTTAACACAATCATCGCCTATGTCCTGACCTAGCCCAATGTAACTACCTGTCAATCAATTCTAAGTCTCCATAGCAGGCTAAGATTAGGGTGAAATGAAACATCTTTACCATGTCACTGCCCTGATGCAATTGAGTTTTCTTGCGTGAGGGGGCAGTTACCTCCTTTCGGTGAACTCTGTGGAAAACTTCTTACTTGCTTTTTGCTGGGGCGGGATCCTACACCTGCTCATCAACCTCTGGTGTTTCAGACTTTAGTCAACGGTCTGCCTATCTTGGGAGCTCAGACTTACTGCATGATCTTGGGCTTATGATCTCTAACTTGCTGACCTGATTCATCCTTCTCTGCAGCCACCAGACTATGGTTCTCCTGCCACACAGCTAGGTAAGTCAGGAAAAGTCTTCAGCTTAACATCTGACCTATAGACTTGGAACCTGCATGTACTCAGACTTGCCCACTTCTACAACTGCGTGAAACATTTTGATAGAGATTTCTCTATATATCCACGTCACTAGATTTGCAACTTTAGAAAAGTGTAAGGATATGGCAAATAATTAGTGCAGTACAGCATGGGAAACTAATGCTGAGGGAAATGTGGCTAGGACTGTATTTCCTATCTTTTAACAGGGAATCTGGAAAGCTAGTATTCCATGGTACGAAAACCACCACTTTGGTAAGTTAAAATCCAAGTACATTATTCTGCTTTAAATATCATTCCCACAGATATGCTGCCTTAAAGTGAGCACTTGGTTGATTCTGTCTCCCTACAGAAGCAAAGCAGACATTCTTGTTAGCTGCCCCCTCCCCCCACCCACCCCGCTGCGGCACCCATCTCCCTCATGCCTTCCCCCAATGCAGACATTAGGTTTCCTCACCTGTGAGCTCAGGGACTTTACTGTGGTTACCACCCATATGGTGACTTATGCGGTGACCTGTATTCAGGGGGTCTTGCATGCCCCTACCTATATATAAACCTTGGTTAGAAATATACCTCTCCACCTCCTCCCGCTGTGTGGACCTGGCTGCTGTTCATGGCCGCCCAAGGTGAGCAGGCTACCATAAAATGTGTCTAATTCCTTCATTTTACCTTCTCTCCTATGTATCCTTCCTATTCTCTGACTTTTACTACGATCTTTACATAATCGTGCAATTGCACCTACAGACCCACTCGGTTGTTAGAGGTTGGTTTACTCTTAACAGTAAACTGATGGGCTTCTAAGAATTTTCTTCACCTTGAAATGTGGGGTTTGTTGCTGGATATTAAATCTGTATGGGTTACCTGGGGCAGTGGGAGCCATCTTATGACAATAAACAAAATAGCTTCCATACCAGGGCAGTATAAAAAAGCCAAACCCATCGCTATTGTGCAGATTCTAATTCTCACCCACTGCCATCAAGTCTGTTATAGAAGCAGACAACCCATCTTCCTCCTTCAGAGCAGCCAGTGTTTGACCTGCCAACCTTTTGGTTAGCAGTCACTCACCCAACAGTACCACCAGGCGGCCTATTCCCACTGCTTACAAGTTGGTTCTGACTCACAAGACTTTATATAGGGTTTCTTAAGATTGAAAATCTTTACAGGCGCATATAGTTCCAAGTGGCTGCTGAGTTTGAACTGCTGGCCTTGCAATCAGCAGCCCATTGCATAGGAGTCCCTTGAGTTTCATCTCATTGTATATAGAACCATAGTTCTGGTGGTGCAGTGGTTATGCACTGGGCTGTTAACCATAAAGTATGCAGCTGCTCCTCCAGTAAGGAGTCCTATGGCACAAGGATTAAGCACCAAATACTAAATGAATGCCTGCTTGGCAGCTTGATTCCATCTGGCTATAACTCCTGCAAACACCATACATATATACTAGAATATAAGCTGACCTGAATATCAGTCGAGGCACCTAATTTTACAAAAATGCTATAAAAAATGTGAACTCTGCTTATACACATATACATTGTCAAAGTCCCAAATTGTAGTCTGTCAAAAGGGGTTGTCAGTGGGCCAAATAAAATCTGTAAACTATTAACATGTAATGACATGCCTACCACGCTTCAGTGTTATTTACAACTGGCCCATGTAAGCCTTCTTAGAGGTGTTGCAACCCTAGCTCTTGGTATGTCGGGCAAGTTTTTTCTCTTCAGTATTTAAGAAAGCAAGTTAAAATTTCTAGCTACCTGTTCAAGTTCTTTGATTGTTGATACCTGACATTAAACTAGTTTTTATATAGCATGGCATAGGGTGACTGAGACAGAACCAACTGGACAAGACAGAATATAGCTTACGGCTGCACCTCAAAGCAACCCTGCAAGTCAAGTAAACCAAAGAACCAGGTCTTGATGGCTCAATTCCCACTCGTGGCCACCTCCTGTTTTCAGGGAACTGCTCCAAATGTTTGCAAGAGCTACACCCTCTTGGAAGCAATCACCAGAGCTGCCCCAATGAGTTCAAACTGTAGTCTATTAGTAAAGAGCTTAATGATTTGGCTGGATATTATCTCCATTTCAGAGATCAGTAAATTTCCAATTACCTGAAATCTCTATTCCATTCCCGTTACAAAACCTTAAATGTTCCATACAAAAGTGCTGCATAGTACGCGTCACGTGGTTAACTAGGGGCTTGAAACCACCAGCCTCTCCACATGACAACTTTCAATTCCGAGTTTAGTCTAGGAAATCTGCAGGGCCAGTTCTACATTGTCTTACAGGGTGACTATGAACATTGACTCCATAGTATTGGTTTTATCCAAGCAAAAATTAAGAGCATATCAACATGTAAGGTGGGGTAACATCTAAGTTGAAAGGGAAGTCAACATTTAAGGTTCCAGTAAACCAGTTTTTACATTGAAGCCTGGTAGGAAATCCAGTGCTGAGGACTGACCTATGCAGACATTATGCTCCATAAAAATGAAAAATCACCGTCAGAGTCAATTATGAGTTATAGTGACCCACTGAGACATGGTAGAACTGCCCCATAGGGTTTGCCAAGAGTTACTCTTTACAGGAGTAGAAAGCATCTTTCTCCCAGAGGCTGTTAGCCTCAAACTAACCTGTTCAATAGTTCAAGTGAACACTACACTACCAGGGCTCCTTATATTCCATGAAGGAATGTTCACAACCCAGAACAATGTTTCAAGAATTCATAAATAAATTTTGCATGGGTTTATTCTAATATTTAAACACAGTGCTGCATTCCCTATCACTAAACCAAAGCTTGGAGGCCCCAAAGGCCATCATATTGCAATCTCTCCTTTACAGTATTAAAATGGAATTAAATACTCAGATACCATCTACCCCGGCCCTTGTCTAACAGAAAACGTGAAGAAGAAACTCATGAGTTTAAATATGGCCAGCAGTTGAGTTCACAACTTGTAGTGCACTGAATTACTTGATATGTCTCTTCTAAGCCATTCTTTGTAACTCCCACCATAGGTCTGGCTGGTACTAAGCAGACTGGATGTATTTCCTCTTTCTGATGGGCTTGAGTAAAAGGCAGTAGGAATTGCGAAGTTAATTGTGAGAAAAATGAACCTCTAAAACACCTGATCAAATCTGAAAATGTAAACACACTATTGGTTTTCCTCGTTATGACACATGGAAAAAAATACCATTTATCAGATTCCTCCTTAGAAATCTCCCCTTAATTAAGCAATTTGCACACAACCTATTTCACAAAATGAGACATCAGCATTCATGTATTAAGTTTATTTACAAACATAACCAGTATGCTATTAAGTTCAGCAGAGCTTGATCCAATTTTCAGAGGTTGGACTTCATACAATGCTCTTCTTATCTGAGGGGGAATGAAGAAACAGCATAAACTCTCTTTAAGGAAATTAAATAAAAAGTTGGTCTGACAAAGTTCAGCCATCAGTTTATGGATACATCAGAAAGCGTTTACAGTATCATGACTATTCATACTGATTTGCTTCATCACATGCACCCAAACCTTCTCCTATTAATCCCTAGGATAAGTCATTTCCCTTCTACACTGTAACAGTCTTCCTTTTCAAATGTTATCTGTTTGGAATTTATTCTAATGAGCTTCACATTGCAATTCTCTGGAGTCTCTGCATGGTACAAATAACCCTGGACGCTTTACCAAGATGGTATGTCAAAGATAGACGTAGGTAGTTTGTTTCATTAGGGATATAGAAGCAGAGCATCCTCTGTCCAGAGGTGCCTTGGTATTTAATAGCATCCCTGGTTGGGTCCATCAATCTAAACATTGCCAAATGTCCCCTGGGTTATAAACCCCTTTTCTTCCTGAGAAAGTTATCCCCAAGATGACTGTTTTATTTTGAACAGATTTAGATTAGCAACACTGACACAAATTCCAAAGAACTGGCAGCAGTGTGGCCTGGTGGTTTCTGTATTGCTTCTGTATTGTAATACTGGATTAAACTATATATCCCTTTACAAAGAGAATGATAAACTTACTAATTTACCTTGTTAGCAGTGTGAACTCTAGAACCAGGTTCTGGGTTAAGAATACTAGTGGTTGGAGGGGGGAGCAGTAAACCTTTAACGAACCCTGCTATTAAGGAGCAGGGTCAGAATTACTTGTTTATAGATTGAACATCCTGGCTCCACAAATGTCATTCATACATTTGAGGACCACCCTTACCTACTTATTTTGGGAATCTTCCTTTGAAAATCAATAAGGGAGACAAACATTACTTTAGGAAGATTAGAAATCCATTACCTGTTTCACAGATGAATTTAAGCATCCTATTTCTTAAGCAGTTGGTGTCTTACTATAAGGAAAGGTGCTGCAAATCCAGACCCAAAGAACACGGCCATCATAACCAGTAACCGCCACTTGTTTTCCACAGAAAATGGCAAATTCTGTTGGGAAATAGGAAAAAGCAACAAAAATATAAGTTCAAGTCCTGTTTTTTCTTTTCTTTTTATGTCAAAAAGCACAAAGATGTCATGTAGAAGCCAGTTATTAGATTTAAAAAAAAACAAACTTTCTTATCTAGTGACTTTCATCACTCAATGATAGAGACTATGTAATTGCTCAATTAAAAAGTCAATCCCCAGTAACAGAATCAGTTTACATCTTATTTTAGAAATCGGGAGGAAAACAGTAGTAACAATACAGTACCCAATGCCATCACTTTCAAAAATAAATAGCATTGCTCGAGTTTACCATCTTTAGAAATATGCCACCAGGTAAAGACACGTAATTGCACTGCCAACAACATAGTTATGACTTCGTTCTAACTTTTTCATAACCCTACACCACTTCGAAACTCTTTGCTAACACCCAGAGGGCAATTACTGTTACCCAAGGCGATGCAGAATTGTCCCCTGTGGCGTACAGGGCTGAAAATGTTAGCACAAAGCCTCATCTTCCTCCCAGACACTAAATCGAAAACTAATCCTGCCGATGGGTTGGAAAACCCCAATTAACAACCATACGTACTCAAGTTCTCAGTGACCTTCACTCCCGGTCAAATGACCTCTGCCTGACAGCAGGCCGCAGTACCTGCCGGTCGGGTCTCCCAGGTCCTGCATGCCTTTGGAGGACGTGAAGAAGGCAGAACTCGGGGCGCCCCTGCGCATTCCTTCCTGCAGCTACGGTGGGCCTCCGGGCGCTCAGCGTTCCCCCTCGCCTTTGGGGAAGTGGGCTGGCCAGCACCTCAGCCCGCTTTCCCTGTGCGGCCGACACTGTAGGCCGTCTCCCCTTCCAGAGGCCGTGTGTGGCCTTGAAATTCAGCGCTCCCGTCTAGCGGCCCTTCCCCCGAGCCAACTGGGCCCCTGCCACACTAACCTTCCCAGGGCCCTCCTCATAGTGGCTCCTCCGGACCACAGAGGTGGTAAACCTCCGGATGCTCTGCCCCAACATGGCGCTGTTGGAGGCTCCGCGAAACTCGCAGAGAGAGACCACAGAAGAAATGGCGGTACCAGTTCCTGCTCTCGACCTTGTTCCCCGTGCGCAAGGTCCGAAAGGGAACATGGGAAAACGGGAGGGGCTTCAGGAAACGCGCCAGAGGCGAGCTCAGGGAACTGTGGGAAGTGTAGTTCGCATCATCGTGGCGCCTTTATTGTCCAGAGGGATTGTGGGAAATGTAGTACCAGAGTTCTAGGACGGCAAGAGTACGTTGGCGTTGTTTCTTATAGCAATGAGAGACTCCTTCAAACCAGAGTTCTTTTCTTGAGCCCAGGTGTAGGATTCCATGACCGGTTTATAGAAACAAGTTTACTGAATCTTTGAATATTTGGGGAAAGTATGTTAACTATGTGTCTATTGCTCGTTTAACAAATCTTAAGTGGTCACAGCTGGACAGCTTGTCTTTATCATTTCTCAGTCCCAAGTATCTTGCCTAGGGTAGCTAAACTGCGCGTGTCCAAGGAGCAGATTCACTCCCAAGGAGTGGAAATATCTAGAAAAGTAAGAGCTTGAGAGATTTTAGGTATGAGCTGTTACCAGAAAAGACACAAAACACTTTCTTCCAAGGTCGGTTTTGCTCCGAAAGTTTGGGTAGAGGCATCTGTTCTCTATGCTGCTCTGTCACTCACCCTCTAGAGAGCTACTAACTTCGGATTTCTCAGGAGGAATCCTGGAAGAGGTTTCTTTCCTGCAACTTCCTAAGCTGTCACAGACACACATCCCCCACCTAGCGGAGTAGAAATCCTGGTTTACGGTCATTAACTATATATTTTACCTAAACTCTTGATGCTACAGTGAAGTATATGGTTAAGAGTTTGCACAAACTCCTAACTTCAGGAAAGAGATTAGTAAAGGCTAGATTGAGTGCAGTGAGATTTCCAATCAATCAATCAATCAATCAATCATAAGCCAGGCTTTCTTGGCCCTTCTGACCGAGTCTTCAGTGATCCACTGAGGCCTAGTGCAGCTGCAAGTATTTGCTAGATGAGTGTGCTTTGCAAGACTGTGCCAAGAACTGAGCATTGTACAGGATCTTATCTGATGATACAAAACATAAACACACATAACCAAACGACACAGTGCCAAGCATTTGAGAGAGAAAACGGAATTATGAAGATTTAGAGAACTGAATAAAATAGGAAAAGGGACAGAGGAGAGAGAAAACTTGAGGCACATTGTGAGTGTGCTATGTGGAGCCAGCCTAGGCCAGGCCTTTGTGTTGCCCTTCTAAATCGAAACAACTGCACAGACCATCAGCATCAGCACAAGACCCCTCTCTAACTAGGATGGGTCAAGGACAGAACAAGACCATTCAGTAGTCACATCTACACTGGGAAAACATGAACACAGTCCAAGACTAAAAAAGATGAGACATACTCTTACTGTGACTAATATGAATTCAGCTTATTTGGCAATTATAGCCATAGATTGGATCTAGTCTTCTCCAATTCTTTTTTAAGTTGTTCAATAATATAATGTGTCTTGCTTTCTGACAGTATCCAATCGAAAACTTTTTTAAAACCTGCTTCAAAATCACTGGCCATAAGCCCAAATATATTTTTTCTAACCTTTCTTACTGAGATGCCTCAAGGTTGTTTTTCTTCAATACAATCTTTTATGTAGCTAGTAATAAACCCAATTGTTCGATTATTGATGTGCTTCCATTTGTGACAATGGGGCCCACACAGTGTTTCACCTCCTGTGGCTTCACAAGCAAACCCATAGGCCCACAGCACAGACAGATTCCTATGAGACAGGTAGCACATGGCTCTAGCCTCTAAACTTATTTGTCAACTGTTCTTCCCACTGACCAACAGACTGACCCCAACCAACCGACCGACTGACCAACCAACCAAACAACCAACCAACCAATTCAATGAAATTGAGTCAATTCCAACCCATAGTAACCCTATATAGTGCTTTCAGGGCTATAAAAGGTGCCCAGTTGGCAAAGTGGGTTATGTGCTAGGCTGCCCAAGGTCAGTAGTTTGACGTCTTTGGGAGAAAGACCAGGCTTTCTGTTCCTGTACAGATTTACAGACTCTGAAATCCACAGGGGCAGGACCCTGTAGGATGACTGTGAGTTAGAATTGACTTTATAGCAGTGAGGTTTTATTAGATGAAAAGAACCTGGTTTGAATCTCCTACCTTGTGGTTAGCAAATACCAAGAGCACCACCAAACCCTTCACACCAAACAAAACCCAAACTCAGTGACATGGAGTCCCTGCCCCTATGGGTTTCTGAGACTGTTAACTTTTTACAGAAAGACTTGTCTTTCTCCTGTGAAGCAACTGATGATTTCAAACTGCTCACCTTATGGTTAACAGCCCCATTTAATTCTCAGCTTGATTTGATAATTAATTGCAACTAAGAACTCAGAGACCATACTTACAATTATAGGGGTTATTAAGGAAATAATATTACAATTCAGGATCACTATGTTCTCTCTCACACAGCACTATTTTTCTATTTGTATTCCATAATTCATTACAATGGCCATATAGAACTCACAATACTCATGCTTAAAGAGCTAAGGAAGCTAACAGGTTGCAATGCAGGTGAGAAATGCTGAAGCTACAGTGGTTCAACCAGAATATGCAAAATTATGTTAGACCTCCCAGAGGGCAGGCCACTCTGTTGTAAACCTCAACTCCAAAACATTCCGCTCCAGTTCCATGGGTGAACTGAACCCAGCTCCCCTAATTAAGTGTCCAGAGAAACTCAACAAAGCAGCCTCTTGCCCAAAGCATCCATTTTATTTGTTATGTGAACTGAGAAGATCACCACCCTGCCTCATGCTCTGACTCCTGCTTCTGCTGCTGCTCCTTTGATGTCCCAGCTGTCCTCTGGATCCAGGAGGTTCACTGCACAGTGACCTCAGGTACATGCAACATGCTCCATTACTGGCTCTTGCTGGCAGTGAGACCTCTCCTCTTGCTTCTCATATTTTATCCACCAGGATGGCAGTCAAAGGGGTCCTAATGGTGTCATGGTCGTTAAGTTGCCAACATAGAGTTGGTGCGGACACACAGTGACCCTAAAGGACAAAGTAGACCTGCCTCGGTGAGTTTCTGAGGCTGAAATTCTTAGGGGATTAGAAAACACCACATTTCCCCTTCCTGTCTTTCTTCTGTGGAGCAGCTGGTAGTTTCCAACTGCTGAGTTTGCAGGTCACAGCCCTATGTGTAACTGCTTGAAGGAAATGCTATAAAGCTCTTCTAGCTCTTGGCATCTCAGCATCAGATCTCTTTGGCTTGGCTGAATGTAGCGCTGCTGATTAAGCACCCACCTTACCAGCAACCCTGTCCAAAGACACTCCATTCCAGCTTCTTGGGTTGATCAATTTAACGCTCCCCCATTTAAGTGCCTACAGACAACACCATTTCTCCAGGGGCTGGAAAGCTCTGACTGTGTCCTGTGTTCTTGGTTCTGCTGCCTCCTCTCTGTCACAGCTCTGTCATCACAGCTCGCTGTCTCCTGGGTCAAGGAAGTTTAGTACAGGAATCTCAGGGTCCAAATAACATGTTCCAGTCCAGACTCATCTTTTTCGATGGTAGTAAGATTCTCACTCTACCCCCACATGTCCCACTTCTGATATGGCTCATTTGAAAACTAGCAGGATGGCAAAATTGTAGAATCCTGTGCAAGTTACATGATTTCATGTCAGCTTCTTAAATAGGATATAGGGGTGGAGTATAGCCAATCATGACTCTGTGTGCGCATGGCCTTCTCCTGAGGATTCTGGGAGCTCCTGTCTTCCTCCCAGGAGGCGGGACACACACACACTCTCTCTCTGCCTTGTCTTCCCTTCCTGTTGGCAAGCCACATGGAGCTATACTGATGGAGCCAGAGTCCTGGAGCTGGGGGAGGCATGCGGAGACCCAGGCCAGTGCTGATCTGCCCCTAGATCCATAGGACTATCTACACGCTGGCCTGTGATCTTTCTGCATTTGGTATCATGGCATGTGTTGCATGCATCTGAAGAGGAATTTATAGGCTGGTATGGGATATATGGGCCAATATTGGACTTATGGACTTGAATTGGACTGTGCTGGAATGTTTTCTTAATATACAATTACTCTTTGATATAAAATTCTTTTTTATACACATATGAGTGTCTATGAATTTGTTTCTCTGGTCAACCCAGACTAGCACAAATCTTAATGTGAAGATAGAATAATTTGACCATCCTGCTAGTTTACATGATCCCACCCAAAGGAAGCTCTATTTGTATTATTTGCATAATACCCAATCCTCTTGCTGGGCAACAAACACTCACATTTTCATAGTACTATCTAGTAATTTGTCTGAGTTACAAAGATTATGAACAGAACAGCCATACCTAATAATTCACTGCACTGCACAAGTGGGCTTTTACTGAGGGCCGTGGGAAGAAGAAAAGCAGTGGAAAATGAGGCCAGGAAGGTGACAATAGGACAGATTGCCTTAGGTTTACGTAGGGCCTTTTATCTGTTTTATTCACCTGTGAAAGAATGTACGTTGACTTAGATAATTCATTTATAGAGTGAGAGTGAACAAAGTCAAATAAGACCTAAATCCTGTTTGAAAAGTAGGTAACTGAGACTAAGTAAAAAAGTATTGTGCAAGTTTATTTCAGACAAACTTGTTTAAATATGTCTCAGCCAATAGTGGATGGCTGCATACCAGTAACATACTTGTTTTAGTTTCATGAGGAAGTCTTCGTTTAAAAAAAAAATGTTTCTGAAGGGGTCTGCTGGGCCAGTTAAATCAAGGAAGAGAGGTCATCATAGGAGGTGCCTGTGCTTTGGAGAGAGCCTAACAGAGTAATCTTTATAATTCATCTTAAAGTACACAGGAAATCAAGGTGGGGTTATTGTGAAGTTTAAAAAGAAAGAAAGAAGGAAAGAAAGAACTACTTTGGTGAGAAAAAGGCCAAGGGAAATTGTGCTAAGAATTTTTTGCCATCAGAATAATGCATCTGCTATTTCTTCAAGGTTAGCAAGGGTTGACTTGTAAGACTTTCATTGGGAAGCTTTACCCCATCTA